CCAACCATCCCATTCTTCTGTTCCTCACCTGTCCCAGTTCTTCACCTGGTTGTTCATTCAGGGTTTGTCTGTTTCAAATGTTACTCTCTATAGGGCTGCCCTTTCAAACACCTTCCGTTCTCCCACTTCTGGAAAGCCTTCACTTCCCCAGTTATTTCCCTCTTTATCTGTTCCTTTCTTCTGGTCCATCCACCACATCCCTTTGTTCTGTCAGATTGGGATCTCATTGTTATCCCTCATGCCCTATCCAGTTCTCCCTTTAATCCCATTACAGTGGGTTCCTTGTACCATTTTTCCCTTAAGACCTTTATCCTTCCCTTCTTGGCATGCAGTCGTCATTATTCAGATATTTATGCCATTGATGTTTCTCACATCTTTTTCATTCCTTGTATGTTATCCTTTATCTGGACTGGGCCTTCCTTCCCAGAACATTGGCTGCCCGGGAAGATTATTTACCCTTTTCTCCTATTTCCTTACCTTCCATTTCCCAATTGTACTTCCATTCAGATCTGGGTCAACTACTTTATCCAATTTGTTTCCTGCTTGTTTTTTACTTGTACTGCCTCATTTTGTGATTATCATTCCTATCTATTTGTTCCATGGAATTCCTCTATTTCCTATGATGTATCACATATTATGCTTACTGGTTAGGTTTGTCAACTCATATGACTGGCATATTCTAATGTGTCCATGAAAGGTCACCCACTGCACAATCTTTCTTCACACCAACTTCATCATCTAACTATGTCTTTGCCTACTCTTAAATGCCATCTTTTGGAGGAAATCATTCCGGCTGTTATGTGGACAACTCGCAAAAGATTTGTCACACATAATCTGTACAACCTAGCTGTGTCTTCCTTGGGCACGTACCATCTTCCTCCTGTGGTGATTCTTCACACATCTGTTCACTTTTGACTGAGGTAAGTTGACCTGTTATTATATCTCTTTCAGTTGATATACATCATATTTTAGAACCCCACCCAGTGATGAGTATTGCCTGATCAGGTATGCTCCATATTTGATCTTTGCATTAAATCTATATATTTCTAAACACTCACTGTAGAGATGGGGTGTTTCTGTAAACCCATTGGATGCTTTTCTAGTGATATGTATATATATATATATCAAACGTTTATTATCAATGTATTTTATATAAAGGACCGTCACTCATGGACTTCATGAGTCAAGCAGATGGGGACTTTTGCCCATCCCCACTGACTCATGATTCTTACCGCTTGGGTCTTTTTGCTTTTCAAAATAGGGATTTGCAGACACCCATTGCATGTTCTCTATCCTTTATTTTCTTCTAGTGGAGTATGGGAGTACTTAACACTGGTGTTCCTAGTTGCTGGAGTGGAGAACCATGGAGGTTTCCTCCTGAATGGGAGGCTTGACATGTCCAGGTGGTTAGGCCATAATATCCCTAAAGTGCTTCCCCTGGATGTATTTTGCCTGAATGGACTTCACTTGGCCTATTTATATACAACTTATGGTCCTTTAGCTCTAGCCACTTATGCCTTTATCACATTATCTGGTACTTTGCTATGACTAATTATTCCTGTATCACATACTATGGTCTACTGTATTGATTACTATACTATGTTGATTTACATACAAGACAATTTATATATCCACTCTATGCTGATTCACGTCATAGTTCTACTGCACTGCTCCAAAACAAAGTGATGTACATAATTTTTCTTGAGTATATTGTGCCTGCCCCAGACATTCTACCCTATATATATTACTGCTTTGTGACTGGACATGGAGCATACCTGTTCCAGAAGTAGTGCTGTAACCCACAGGTGTGCCTTACAGGCACACCTGTTCTTTTCAGGTGGTTGTTATCTGCTTATTTTGAGACTGTTGCACCTTCACTAGCCCCACCACTATTTCAGTGTGGGATTCTAGCTTTGGATGAACAGAAGTAGTACTTGAAAAGTTTTTTTGGTGTACAAAACTTGAAAATAGCTTTTATGTGTGGAAACATCTGCTAGCTGAGCTCTTGCACAGATCTTAAAGTATAACATTGATAAACGGAAACATCGGCACATGTAGATATGTCTCCAGCCATTATTAGTCTCAAAGTGGGTTCCTCATCATCGAAAATGTATAAAGATTGTTGGGATTTGGTCTTTCCTAATTTTGAGCTACTAACTCTAGGGAGAACAGCTACCCATTAACAGAAACCATGAACCAAGTTAAAGGCCTAGATCTAAAAATAACTTTTTCTCTTCTTTTTTTCCACTTTTTGTTTTTCTGTTTTACATTAATTTTTATGTTTTTATGTGAGTTAAATATGCCTTTTCAAGATTTATTGATATGTACTTTATTCCTTACATATGTGTACGCACTTTTTTTTTCTGGTTTTCTGTTTAGTGTTTAACATTCATTATTTTTTGCATATTATAATAGATAATTAATATAATAGATTAATTTGTAAGTATTCATGTGATTAACTTGCAAGTATTTAACAATCAACCAAGTGAATTATGTAAGTAGGATTAAAAATAGATAAGTAAGAGAGTGACAAATTAAATTTAACTGTAATAACAAAAAAAAAGAAAGATCAAGCCACTTGGTTTAAGTATATTTTAAATTGAGTGATCTGTCATGATAAGGAACTTAATAATTATATAGAAAAACAGTAATCTTACATAATAATGAAAGAGACTACTGCAACTTATAATTTGCCCAGTCCTTATTGAAAATAATTGCCACTAGTATTGTCTTATTAACCTTTTAAGTTTCTAGGATATTGATGGGATGTCCATGTCAGCAGCTGTGGCTTTAATCAGCAGATACGATCAAATAGCTTATGACCCAGGACAAAATGTATGGGTTGTGGCCACACACAATAAAATTGATACAGCTATAAGGTGTTTAAGATACAAAACTGTTTTGATGTTCCTGCAACCAGAACTTATAGGCATGTCCAAAATCACATGTGTGTGGTCATGTCGCAGCTTATTCATTGGAACAAGTGTTAGGGTCCCAAAGGTCACCCCTTTATCCCCTTGGAGGGCCCACAATAATTAACACCAGTTGATAAAGGCCTCATGATGTCTTTACATCACTGGGTTGGACCCTATGGACCCGATATGATACTTCCCTCTTCTCACAAGATTAGCTTTTCCCATTTTGTGCTGCCCTCTATATGCAAACTTTTTTATATTGCATGCCACAAGCTTTCTGCACCCTCTATTGGAATCAAAGATTCTAACATGGCTCTAATGCAAATCATCATGCATCATCTCTCCACCAATAGGAACACACTACTATCATGTGATATATGTGAATCCCTCTATGTGTGACTACCGAAACACCACTTCTCGTTTGGCGATACTTGAGTTCAGATGCCCTTCTTTTTGCTCATTACTTCTTGAAGTGGTTTGACTTAATTTAATTTACTTTATTTCAATAATTTTATTTTCCACATTTGATATATTTGTGTTTTGCTGCAAATTTTTTACTTGTTTCTTTGGTATCAAGCATGAATTCCGAAGTTAACTTTACCACTTTAGATACATCTCGTTCGTCTGATGCCATAATTCAAGCCACAGGTGCAGGGATTTATTGGCCTTTATTCACAGAGAGATTGAGTGTTATATGGGACAACCTTTGTCTCCTACTGTTGTCCCTCTTCCTCCTGAGCTTTTCAAGGCTGACAAGGATGTTGATTGTTTGTATCCTCTCCCCCCTGAAGTTCACCATGCTTTCCCAAACTCTACCTGAGGATTCTGTTTGGTCCTCGTCGGATTTTATTTCTCATATATGTGATATTTTGTCTAATGCTCCTATTTCTTATGACCCATATCCTTCCCTATTACATGATTTTGCCTCCTAACCTTTTTTAGTTTTCCCCCATCCCCTGATATTTTGTTCACACTGAGCATTTTGCCTCTCATTTAGGTGATACTGTTAGTATGCCTCATCACCCCAGGCTTCAGATCATAGGGCAGATGTTTTTGTTTCTGTCCTGATCTCTCCCTCATTCTCTCTGGCGACTGGGATGTTATTGACATTTGGGACCAGTCTCACAGTCGCGGAAGTTGATTGCATGTGATGGACTTCCCTCGGATACCGGATAACACATTCTCGGATTCTTGGCTTAATGCTAATCCTGTGTTGTGTCCTGGAGTCGGTGTTTTCCTCACATACACGATTTTGAGGTTTGAGGTGAAGCTGGTACAATCCTCATCCTACCCTTGTGTGGATGTCAGTACCCAGCGAGGAGGTTTTGGGTGTAGTTGACTTACCAAGTACAGTCTGCCTCAACCCAGCCATTCTACACCATGGGAAGCATCTTCCATTACCTGCTTTCCTTCTGTGGGATTGAGTTTCTATATTTATCTGGTTGGGATCACTTTCCTGAGTTATCCTCTCCCACTTGGATGTGCTCCATTCGTTTGTTCCTAGCTGTTCATGGCAAAGAGATACCTGGTTCAGAAGTAGTGCAGTGCCCCTCCTCAGATTCTCTGATCTGTTTATCTCACCTACAGAAGTATCCTTTGAATGCTTTCAGGTGGTACATCTGTTCTTCCTTCGCACTGGTCCCTCCTCCTTTTCAATGTGGGATTCTAGCTAATCTTGTGAGCTGAAGGAAGTACCATATCAGAGGTTATAATTTTCCTGTACTGAAAATGTATTTCCCTCCAATCACACTTCCCACCATCCTCCCCACAATGATCTGGAGCTTACATCATCTGCCAAATAAGATTGGTGGTGAGATGACACATGATGACTTGCATGAGAGTCCTGTTGGAATCTTTGATTCCAATAGGGAGGGTGCAGAAGGCTTGTAGCATGCAATATAAGAAATATCAGAAATACATTTTCAGTATAGGAAAATTATGACTTGTGTGTACTGTAGTTGTTGGATTAGAGCTTTTTGTTAGGTAGATTAACTGTTCATGATATTTACAATTTTTAGGTTGTCTTGTTTTTATTACTTAGGTTGATGGTTATGGCTGTAAAGCATTTTAATTTTCTTTTTTCAGGAGCATTACTGTCATCTTTCTTTCTGACTGATGAGGAATACACCTCATTAAAAGATCATCTGTGCAAAAATAATGCTGTTTCTGTGAGGGAACAAATCTTAGAAATGCTGAAGTCGAACCAGTGGTTGCAGGATGCAAACTTAAGTGAATTACTTAAGGTTCCATTCATGAGATTGTGTGCTCAATACCTATATAGAGAAAAAAGAAGAGGTTATGCTCTTAACAGTGTAGGTAAGTGAAGAATAATGTCAAGAAGGGTGAGTAAGTAAAAAATAATGTTTCAAACAGCAGTAGGGAATGATTATTTTAAACTTTGTGAGCAAGACAAAATTCATTGTTTGAAACACTAAATGATAAAGAATTAATATTACAAGAAAATGAATACTTCATTTACTGTAGTGGTTTGCAAACATTTTATGGCACCCTCCTTTTTCTAAACATGCATCTTGTTGCATCCCTCTTTCCTTCTCCTCTTTGTATAAAAATAGAACAAGTCTTAAAATGTAGCATATGGCAAACAGTTTCAGATCACTCACCAATTTGGCATAATGAATGGGATTGAGCTTGGAATAAGATGAGGTCCATTCTTAGTTGAATTGTTGATGTAGCAACTTGGAGAATCTACTCTACCTACAGATGAGATCATTATTTTATTTTTAATGTTATCAGTGCAGAAAACACTGTCAATGGCAAAAGCTCACCCATCACTTTTCTTAACAGATCAGGGTGTTCTTTGCAAACTAGCATCCAGAAGTTTGTAAGAAGTTTAGACTTTAATTCTGCCTGGAGAAGGTTCCATTGAATAATAGTGCTATGAGATTTTTTGAACTGTCATTAAATTGATTCAGGATCTGATTGCGTTCTTTTATTGATTCTGAGAATTGATCTGCATATTAACACTAAAGATTTTGAACATGAATAGACACAACATTACGAATAAAACTGTGATTTAATTCACTTCCTTCCAAGAATTCACTGAGGCAAGGAAGCAGTTCACAGTTTCCTTTCTCAAACTGGTTTTTACAAAGTACAAGTTTTGGAAAATGCAGATACTTTGTCACTCTGGTGCAAAATATTGATATTCTGACCTTGCAGTGTCAAGTTTAGGACTCTGAGTTTATTGAAAATGTCAAACAGGTAGCACAGTATTAGAAGCCATTTTTCATCTATAAAATGTGCTGCTAGTGTGGGGTTGCAGTCTAACAAAATGATACAAAATTCATCTTTCGGCTGCACAGTGCAACTAAGTACCTTCCCACAAGACACCAGCAGACCTCTGTATGCAACAGGAGCTTGTTGTACGTGGATCCCATTTTTCCATAAAGACTTGTAAACAAACTGGTATTCAAAGCTCATTATTTCATAAAGTTCATAACACTTGCAACATCTTATAGCATTTTGGTTGTTTTCAGCTCCCATTTCATTGAAGCTAGTACTTCCTTGTATATGGTGCAATGTGTAAATGTTACACTAGGAGTAAAAGCACTTACTTTGGCTCTGAACTCTTTCTTGTTTTCTAGAAATGTATCTGCCCCCTCAGTGAATAGCTCAACACAATTAATCCAGGAAAGACTATGGTGAAAAACTCTTCAACAAGTGAGAAGATGGCTTCCCAGGTAGTTCTCCTTTCTAATGCTTTGCAAAACAGAAACTCTTTACTCACTTACTGTTCGTAATAGTATCAGATACCAGAAGCTGAGTACAATTTACAACATATTTGATTTCATCAAGTTGTGTGGCAAAGTTTGGACTATTCTGGATGTGTGTTATCAGTTTCATTTTTATTTCAGCAGAGATTACATCTATACACCTCATGACAGTGGCATGTGATAAAAGGATAGACTTCAGGGCCTCACCATACCTCACTCCATGCATGATCTCTCACATTTTTATAGCATTAGAATCACTAATGTCTCTTCTATATTGTGTGCCTTCCGACTTTTTCCAATCAGATAAAATGCTTATAAAGAAACTTTCAAAGCTTTTGATGGAACAGTGGTCTGCTTTTCAAGCAAATTGCTTTGCCCTTTCAATTGTTTCACTTTCACTTGAAGAATTCAGTGGTTTTACTCACATGCTCAGGGTGTTTGGTTTCCAAATGCCTTGTAAGTTTATCAGGCTTCTTGCTGTCATCAGCTGAGATCTGTGAACAGCTAATGCATTAGGATTGTTTCTGTAAGTAAAACCAAATTTTAAATAATACTCCTAGTACATACACACTTTATTTTTGGTTTGATGTACATTTTACCAGAAGAAGCTGTAGAAATGGAATGTGAGGAAGTGCTTGTTCCAGCTTCAGAGCCATCAGTTTGTTCTTTTTCATTATCACCATAATTTAATTAATTATTCTGTTTCTTTATGTTTGAGCTGTTGCTCGAAGAAACATGAGATTGTTTTTTCACCTAATACATCTCTGTGCCTTGATTAAGAGAAGGGTATTGTTGTCTGGAGTTTTGAATGCTTCTAATAAAGTCAAAATTTTATATTTAGCAATTATGATGTATAAACAGGATAAATGTCTATTTTATGCTGGTTCAATCAAATCTCGTTTTTAGCTAGTGCAAAAAAACAACAAATGCACAAAGATGAGACAATAAATATAATTGGGTGATAAATTAAGTGGGAAAATAAAAAATATATTTAAAAACTTCAGGTATGACTTGTTAGTGTCACCGGTTAACTTAGTTCCACTTATAAAATAAAGCAAAACAATCAGTGGTATGAGGGGCAACTATACTGATATATGACTACACTAGATCAACTAGCTAATAAAACAGTAACATTCCAAATGAAGACTCACCTCTCACACAGAACAGCTTATTTTCCTTTAGAGTTTGTGTGATCTACCAAAGAGAATTGCAAACCAGTAGCCTTGTAAAAATTCTCACCTAATCTCATGTGATACCACATGAATTTGCACTACTGCATGATGACATAATCATGCAGCAGAATCCTCCACCAAAATAAATGCAACACACTACCATGTGCAGTGATGCTTTTTACATTTGCACTCATGAATACTCATTCTTTTCCTCTTCACTGTAGTGAACAGATATGTTTGAGTTTAACAAGATTTACCACTTTTTCAATTTTAAATTTTCACTTGATTGAGTTTAGACATACTCAGTATGAATTCCCAGTTTAATGTTAAATCTTCTTCTGCTGGTGTGAGTGAAGATATTACTCACACTGAACAAATCACCAATAATTCACTGGGAATGTTTTTATCTGTAGAAGACATGAAATCCATTGTTCAACATGTAATGGGGTCCATGATGCAGCCAGGACCCTCTGTTTCAGTCTCTCCCACTCACTTCCCTGCTCCTTTTATTTTGAGTCTGACATTGATGATGATGAATTTGAGCAATTTTTCTGCCTCCAGGCTTTGCTTTGGGAACATTCTTACCTACTGAAAAACAATCTCAGTTTTCCTTGGATTTTCAAAACTTTATTACTGATGTATGTATAGTTCTTCCTTACCCCAACCCATGATATCATCCACTTGGGAATTCTCTTCAACTCTCACCTCAGCTGTGCCCCACCTTCTCTGGTTTGCTTATGGGACCTTAATCACCTAGTCACCAAAGTTTATGCTTCACCTTCAACAAGAGGTTCTATCTCTTTTGGGGAGCATAATTACTCTTAGACCCCTCATTCCATTTGGCTGTGCACATATGCATCCCTTAAAGTGGGCATTGCATGACCAATGGAACTTTTCCAGGGATCCACTGTCCTCACCGATCCTCCCCTTCTCTATTGGAAGACCTTGCTTGGTGGCTAGACTACTCCAACACTATCTCCAGCATCCCCTAATCTTCTCCCAAACTGAACCTTCACCTCTTCACAAATGCTTCTTTCTCTCTGGGTAAGGAGCATCCCTGAACAACTGTCTGACTTTCGGGTTCTTGAACTCTGAAGATACATTTGCTACATATCAACACCTTCAAACTGCTTGCTTTCCATCGGGCAAGCTCTCATCTCCTTATCCTCCTTGTAAATCATTTAGTAATGATCCACTTGGGCAACTTCACAGCTATGACTTATATCAACTGTCAAAGGGGCACCCATTCCAGGGATATGTTTTCATATTCTGGACCTCCTCTCTTGGGCCCAATTATTTGGGTAGAATTAATAGCCTGTCATGTTCCAGATGCACTGAACATTGTCACAGACCACCTCTTTCATCAACACTGCATCCTACCAATGGTAATGTACTTACATTCTCAAATATTTTATTGGAACTCCCTCTTAGATGCTTTTACCACACCCCTCAATACCAAATTTCCTCTCTTTTGATCTTCCATACCTCATCCATTAGCCCTAACTGTTAACACTCTCAGTCAGAACTGGTCCCATTTTCTTCTTTATGCTTATCCTCCTCTCCACCTTTTTCCTCATGGTGTTGCTCTGATTTGTGTCACACCTTGTAGAATCCTATTGATAGCCCCTTACTGGATTGCCCAATATTGGTTTTCATTATTCTGTCTTCTCCTGACTAAGCCCTTTTCCTCTTCCCCTTCTGGTCCAACCACACATGTCACTCTTTCATTAGATAGTGACATTCTTTTCATATTTATGTATGGAATTTCTCCTATCCATTGCTCATCAAGCTTGCATACCCCATAGTGTAGCTTTCTTTCTGTCCCACTCTTGTCACTCTTCTACAGCTTCTGTGCACCAACTTAAATGTTGTGCTTATCTCTTGCAACCTACCTTACAACACTTTACTTCCTTCTTCACATGGTTTGTCTGTCTTTACCTTTGCAAGTTATGAGGTGGCACTATCTACAAATCTACAACATTCTGCCTTTCCTGATACTGCAGAATTTTTAATTCACTTCTTCTTACCACCCTCTTTCATTCTTTCCTAATCTACAGACCCTCTTGTCATACTCACTTACTCGACTGGGACTCAAGAGTGGTTCTTCACACTCTCACCTAGTACCCTTTTGAACCTCTTATCATTTGCTCCGTATATCATGTTTCTCAAAACCTATTTCCTTCTTCATTTTACCTGCAGTTGCTGTCATTCTGATGTCTATGCCATAGGTTCCCCCCCAAACTCTCTACCACTGCAGTTACCTTTTTCTTTACCCCGACCAGTCCTTCCTTTCCAAGACTTCTGCTTCTAAGGAAGTGTTTATACCTTTCTCCCATATCCCTTCTTTCTATATCTCATATCTGTGATCGTTCTGACCCAGACAGACTCCTATGTCCTGTACAGGCTCTTT